TCGAGATTGAAATTTGAAAATTGATGATATTATGATTGTGAGGTTGAATGCTCGTTTTTTCTTATAGAGGGTGTGAGTGTAAGAAAGATAGATACTGACGTCTATACCCACCCATACCCACATTTGGAGATTTACAGTTTCACTGGAATTTGATATTAAAAAAAACAGAAGCTAGTTGACTGGTTTCTTTTTGAAAATTTTTTTTTTCTTTTTTACTTTACACTAAATATAGACTTGTGCTCAACTACTTGATGGTTTATCAACTGTTGCTGTTCGCACTCGTTGTTATAAACAATTAATTCATTTTACTGGCGAAGATATTCTTATGAATAGTGACACTTTTAGACAATTAATTATTGCAGAATTATTTATACTCTCTTGTCAAGATTTACATCGATTCTGTTTTCCTTTTAAACGTTTTCTCTTGTTTTTATTTAATTGAATAGATCATGCTGACGAAATTCGAGCAATAGTGAAACGAGCTAAAACAGATTTTTCAATTTGAATCAATGTTCAAAATTTATGAGGAAACTTAATTAGGTATAACATTTCACATAATACCTTATCATACAAAACAAGTAAGATTTTTTCTAAGATAGTCACGAAAAAATTCCTTTGCGATTTTTATGTATTAGGCAGCGCATAAGAAATAGCTCCCTTTCTGTTTTGCAATTGCGTCCTTTATAATAGCTTTGATTGAAACATTATATATTAGAATGATAGTGTTTGAAATTCGACGAATAGCACTATAGTTTAGTTACTAAATATAATTTACTCAATTTTTTTATTAAATACTGTCGTACACTTGAATTAACTAGAATATTTAAATGCTCTTTTTTTCAATTTTTGATGACGAAACGTTTTATTTCATGCATCAATTTTGTTTTTGTTGTCATGTATTCCCAATAGAAACTTTGACCCAATTGAATCTATCACCTGATTGCAACGCTGAGAAAGACCAAATGTGGACTGAACAGAACAGAAGTTGACAAGAAAGTTGAAGGTGATGAAAAAAGAAGAAATTCTGGTTAAAGCTAATGATGCTACTAGATGAATGCTGACAACGACTGAGAATTGCAATCGTTTTTGAAGATGGGACCATCGACGCAGAAAGAGAAATCAACGAAATTCTTCAATTATCTCTAAATTTCGAAGAAAAAACCTTTGCAAATAAGTGAATATATTATTAATAAGGTGCAATAGGAGCGCACATCCATATTCTCAGCCAAAAATGCTGTGATGATTATTTTCATCAATTTATTCGAAAGATCCGGGAGCCATCAAATTCGCCTGGTTTTATGTCCATAAGATAATAGTTTATAGAATAAATTGTCTGAAGCCTTTAATTGAGAATATGTTACAACAAAGGTAAGATTTGCTTCGTTGAATCAATCGCTTTACTAATATCAAGAGAAGTTTCAATTTTCAAGTGGAATTCAATTTACAGATCATGAAAATATCGTCCAGTTGCCTAGAGCAGCATTCTTTTTATGAATCTAATCGTTTTCTTACTGCATCAATTTCATAAGCAGTGGTTCTATACAAAGTACTGAAAGAGAATTCAACAAGAGAATGCAAGCCCGTTACACTCAGATATGTTAATGTTTCCGTATGCTGATAAAGCATTCATCATCCCGACTTTCATAACCTTAACTTGTTAAAAACACAAGCATATTGCTTTCAACTACCTACCAACACTTCCAAAAAAGTACTACCTCATTCCAACGTTTCAAATATCCATCATGAAAGCATGAAGTTCGTTTAAAAAATATGACCTTTTAGGAAATTTTCATCATTTCACTTTGAAACTCACGTCAACCAGAGTGTAAATCAGATATAAGCATCAAAACTCTGCTACATCTACGAAACAGCCATCAATCAAAGACTCGGAAACTACACTCGACATTTCTAAATCCAAAGCTAACTGCATTTCTCTTACAAACACCTATGAACTTTACCAGTAATCCTTCGATTCGCATCTTCACTGTTTGCGCAAAAGTAACTCATATACTATCATTTCATCACTCCATAAAAAAACGAAACATCATTATTATTTATTCGACACACAACTAATATGTTTCAAAACGAACATAGTAAAAACACTTAGTCCCGGAACCGGCAGGTCAATTCAGCTTTTCCTCCAAACCATCAGCCATATCAAAGTCATGATCTTGCTAATTGTTTGTTTCGCTCAACCAATTCTTTTATACGACCTTGAAGTCCGGCTCCGATTCGATTATTACGGAGATCTAATCTGGTGAGTGTCTGCATGAGAAAGTAGAGATGTGTATATTACATATCTTAAAAGAGAATCATGATTACCATGTTATCTTGTAATGTGTCAATGATATATTGTATTCCTTCGTCTCCGATTTCATTGTTACGCAGATCTAGTGCGGTGAGTGTCTGTGTGAAAAAGTAAAACTGTGTATACGAGATAGGGCAAGAGAAAATGATGATCACCGTGTTATGTTGTAATGCATTAGCGATATGCTGTACTCAGAGAGCTCTGATTTCATTGGCTCCCAGATTTAGTGTACAGAGTGTCTGTGTGAAAAAGTGAAAACGTGTATATGACATAGGTGAAGAGAAAATAATGTTTACCGTGTTATATTGTAATGCATTAGCGATATACTGTGCTCCGGTAACTCCAATTTGATTCCAGCAGAGATCTAATGTGGTGAGTGCCTGTATGAAAAAATGGAAAGATGTATATGAGACAGGACAAAAGAAAATAATAGTCACCGTGTTATGTTGTAATGCGTCAAAGATATGTTGTGCTCCTTCGTCTTCGATGTCAATGTTGTAGAGATTTAATGTCATCAGTGTCTATGTGAAAAAGTAGAAATATGTATATGAAATACGTGAAGAGAGATTGATGGTTACCTTGTTGTTTTGTAGCGCATCGGCGATGTAATGTATTCCTTTGTCTCCGATTTGATTGTTTCGAAGATCTAGTGTGGTGAGAGTCTATGTGGAAAAGGAAAGATGTGTATATGAGATAGGTGAAAAGAGAATGGCGTTCACGGTATTATGTTGTAATGCATCACCGATATGTTGTGCTCCCAGAGCTGCTATTTGATTGTATTGGAGATCTAGTGTGATGAGTGCCTGTGCAAAGAGGTAGACATGTGTATATGACATAGCTGAGAAGAGAATCATGCTTACCGTGTTATGTTGTAATGCATTAGCAATATATTGTGCTCCTTGGTCTAAAATTTGATTGTCTCCGAGATTTAATGTAGAGAGTTTCTGTATGAAAGAGTGGAAAGGTGTATATGAAATGGGGCAAGAGAAAATGATGATCACCGTATTATGTTGTAATGCATCAGCGATATGTTGTGCACCTTTGCCTCCGATTTGATTGTGGTAGAGATTTAATGTGGTGAGTGTCTGTGTGAAAAGTGAAGATGTGTATAGAAGATGGGTGAAGAGTGAATGATATTCACCGTGTTATATTTTAATCCATCAGTAATATGTTGTGCTCCTTTATCTCCAATTCGATTGTTGTGAAGAGCCAGTGTGATGAGTGTCTGTGTGTAAAAGTGGAGCTATGTATATGAGATAGGTGAAGAGAGAATGATGTTCACCGTGTTATGCTGTAATGCATTAGCGATATATTGTGCTCGTTCGTCTCCAATTTTCTTATTGTAGAAGTTTAGTGTGGTGAGTCTCTATGTGAAAAGAGAATACATGTCTGTGAGTGAGATGTAGAAAACATATGTATTTGTTTGTTATCATCTTTTAAGTTTTTGCCTATGAACGAAATTTTTTTAGTTGTTTCCATATATAACAGCAGGTAATAGTAAGTAGCGAGCACTGCCTAGAATTTTCTTCGGGTTGATTAAGGAGTAGTCATATAGATTAGAAAGAAAGAAAGAAAGAAAGAATACAGATACAGTTTTTATATTAAATATAACGGAAACATTATGCGTAAGTATCAACCGAGCGATTATTCATACAAAATCATGATTTGATGAGAGATAGGTAAAGAATATTCAGTTTTTTCGTAGCAAATACTGCCGTTCGATTGTTTACCTCTGCTTCTGAGAATCACGATTATAGGTTTGTGTTTGACAATAATCTATGATGTTTGAAACAGTCTGATCTTGAAAATAATAGCAGGCATCAGAAGTACCGCTATAGTTTTTACGATCGGTGAGTGATATTTCATGCTATGGTAATAAATTTCGATTCTTCGAAAAACCAGTCCATTTACGATTAAGTATATAAAAATCAGTCGTGTATATTGTCCATTCCCAGAAGTATGAATTCTGAGGTTAAACATTGATTTTGTAGATCTTAGACATCATAAAGATACCAATTGACCGAATTTTCCTGTGAGCAACGCTTCTCATCAGATTATATCGATACTAAGCGAGCAGACGGGTATGTGCTGAAAAACGTGAAAAACTAAGAACGTTGAAAGAATATTTTCTGTTCTTCAAAATATCATTAAGAAAAGAAGTAAGAAAAAAGAAGTCCGAACCATGAAGTGGAAATATTTAATGAATACTCATCAAATGGACGTAATCATGTTGCGTAAACGTAATCATTGACTCTAATAAACTACACTAACACAAATAAGAAAAAATAGTCGTACAGATAAGATAGTCAAATTCTGAGGACATTCATTAGAATGACTAATTTTCAGGACAACAAAGATAAAAGAATATTTGAATCTTGCAGCGGGATGATTACATGAAAAAAAGAGCCGATATTTGTAACTACCTCGAGGTGTCTGTAATTTTGGTCCATTATTTTTCTTTGTACGTGGATTGAAGTTGTTGAAGAAAGCCAAAGAAATTTATCAAAGCAAACTGAACAAAGCTAATGTTAATCAACATACAGAAGGTATGGCTCATTCTTATCATCAATTGGGCTATATTCACTATCACTTGAATGATTTTAACACCGCGCTGGAATATTTACATAAATCATTGGATATTCTCAGAAAACATCGCAAAATCAATGTACTCGCTGCAGCTGATACTTATTCAATGATTGGTCAAGTTCTTTTTGAACAAGAAATAGATCTTCAGGCAGCGTTGGACAATATGCAAAAAGCATTGGACATACGACTAAAAAAGTACCAACCAGAACCTCAGGTAAAAAACGAAACAAATATATGATATGCGATTTGACTTAATGAATGTTTTCATAGACACTGGCAAAGAATTATGCTCAAATAGGTGAAACACTTCTGTATCTTCATCACCATGATGAAGCTTTGGTCAATCTAAACAAGGCATTGGAAATTCAACTTCGTTCTCTACCAAATTATCATATGGATTTAGCTTCAACTTACAGTACCATCAGTCATGTCTATCATGATCGAGAAAATTATAAGCAAGCACTTTCTTCCTGTGAGAAAGCTCTTGATATCTATCAACGTTGTCTTCGTCACAATCATCCTAGTTTAACTGCTGTTCACACAAATATGGCCAACAATTTAGGTGAATTGAAACGTTTCAACGAAGCCATCATCCATGCTAAGGAAGCCATAGAAATCTCTCGATTATACCTTCCATCTGGTCATAAAGATATTAAGGAACGAGAACGAATTCTTGTCGCACTACAAACTACACAAAAACACTATCAAAATCCAACAATGAACAATCCACAATGACATCAAAGAAATAGTGACTATGTTCGGTGTTTTTCATCTAATCTTTTTGCATCGAAAATATAAGTTTCTAAAAGCGAACACAACGTGTAGTTCGTCTCCCAGAGTTTTACAAGATTCGTCCTTGTTTTTCTTTTCACCATTGCTCTAAGAATTCTTCACTCTTCATTGTGTGAATATCTGGAAAACATTCATTCAAAGTCGCTTTATAATCGACTTCATCTCGAACGAATTGAACCATTGCTTCTTGATAGGCATTTTCTATAATACCAGTAGGATTCGGATTTCGTATGTCGAGCATCTCTTCAACCGTTAGACGTTTCACTTCTAATGTTTGCCTTAGTAATTTCTCTCCCAAACGAATAATGTCGTTTCAACTTGTACGGGAACCAATTATTCCCGAGTGGGGTGTGGATATAGGTGTGGAAGCCAATGGAAAGAAGTGTCATATGTGCACCCACACTCATACCCACCCACGAATATACAATTGAATTTGAATTGGCAAGAAACAAAAACTATCGCCTTTTGATTCATCAATGTGAAAAAAATAACTAATAATGCTGAACAAGAACGCGTATATCAATAGATCGCTGTAGTCAAGAGCTATTGATTGATATAGATATAACACCATGCACTATATATAACTCATTCTCCAAAAGCCAAAAACGTCGGTGAACATGCATAGGATCTACGATTATACAAACAGTCGATATTAAGCATATCTTTGAAAGACTATCAAATCGGCTTGCTTTAGCATTTTTTTTTGAACTAAACAAGTCATAGTTCAGTATGATGAATTGATACTAGGATAGGAATGGAATCTCGTCATGAATCGGACGTTAATCATGTATGATAATTAATTATGTTATGAGAAATCGTAATTGATTGTAAATAAGTTAGAAACAATTTCAAAAAACTACTAAATGATTGAGCTTTTAAGTCTGCATCGAATGATAAACAAGGTTTTTGAAAGATTAGGAGTGAATTGATTTTTTTGTCTTTTTCATTTTCTCTTTAAAAAAAAACCATATTTCCGGAAAGCAGTGTTGTGTAATAGAAGAAATGTAAAACTTAATAATATTATAAAAAAATTCTTAAGTACTCATTGATATCAGATTTAATATTGGATAACTGAAATACATATATCAGAAAAACCTGGAAAAACAAAGGCGACAACATCTTCTGCAATTAATCATTTGAGATCTAGATGACTTTAGTTCATGTCATTGCGATGTCATACATTAAAATATCGATTTAGTAGATACTCTAATAATATCTATCATTAATTGCATATGTCATTAACTGAAAGTGCATCGATTTCCTTGTTGCTCATTGAAATCCTAAATAGATCTAAAGCAGTTTCATTTTTTCTATCTTATATATTTACACCATATATCATTCTTTCAGCTATACTGAAGGATAGGGTAAACTAACAATATCAATTGATAAATCTGGGCGATATTTGATTTACAATGCTTAAAATCAAAATAAATAAATCTTAATCAAACTAGTTTTCATTTCTCATTGATAAATTCAAAGATAAGTGGCTGTCAAAAATAATACTCATATTTATTGATAATATCGTCTATTTGAATGTATACATGTAATACTCACATCAATTAACATAACTGAAAATACACAATATTTTATTTTGTTGGTTGTTTTTTCTTCATTCAGTATCATTTTCATCATGAATTTCAGCTTGTGGGTTTGAGACTTCACTTCAAGTAGGGCTCCCTCACTGATACACTCAAACTCTTATTACCTAAAGCATAATATTTTGACATGCTACCAGCAAATTAATAGCATCAATTATTAAAATGAATCAAACATTTTTTGTTCGATATTCGTAAAAAAAGATAAGTCTTTAGTTTCAGATTCAAAATTAATTAGAATTTGGTATCCGCTCTTGACGTTGTCTAATGGTGATACGCCAAATTTGAACCAAATGACATGACATCAATACAACTAATATCAAGACAATAATCCAAGCCTACGATAAAAATAGCAAGAAGGAGATTGGGCTCATCTAATCGACAAAATTCTCACTCTCCAAGATTGAGACACATCGATTGTTAATTGAACTAGTCCATATTGAATACAAGTGATCGCTCCCACGGACGTCCACATAATGCCAGTTAATCTACCAATGTATTCAGATGAAAAACTAACCAAAATAAAAAGAGAAAATATTATTGCATTTCATAGCATTACGAAATGTCATTTTGATCTTTTTAGATACATATGTATATCGAACATGGTCAAAAATGTTCTCTGGTAGACTCACAAAGTAGCAACAACTGCTTGTGAACCAGCTATAATTGCTGATCGCCCAATGTAGTTAAAAACAAGTGCAGGAACGATAGCAGTAGTTTTGACGAACATACAAATAATACATATTATTATATTTAAAATCCATGAACATGTTTGAGCAATTGCGGCATTCAATATTTTTTGTTTTGAACCTAAATATATATTTGAATATGATATTTATTCATAAGGTTTGATACATACTCTTATCTGCTCGAAATGTGAGAAGAAAACCAACGATTGGACAAAGAAAAATTTGAGATAATGATGCCATATTGAATACAAATGTATACCTATCAGCTACAATGAATTTATTTTGATTAGACTCTTCCATATGAATAGGACGTCAGACTTTTTATTTCCAAAAGAATATTTCATAGTGATGATACAATTGCAATTTAAATCATAACGCACTGAAATATAAATCTGTCATTGAATTCTTTTGATATTTATATCATGAGATTTTTTTTTTGTTGTCTTTTATTTTGATTTTTTAATAAAAATAGTTACACTTCACTTTCCTTTTCTGTTTTGTAAAACTTCTTTTTTTTCTTGGAGTATTGGCCTTGATGAAGTAGGTTTCTCTTTCTCTTCTTTTGTGTGATTGCAATAAAAATATATAAACTCTAGGTCGTTAAAAATAAGTATTCAAAATTTTGTATTAAAAGGTACTTTAATAGAATGAGTATTTATTCATGTCTGATCTAGTAGAAATATTTTACTGCATCCTTGCATATTCAAATTTCTCGATGAGAAAATTCTAAATGATCATTTCTTCTGATAAAGGATAAACACACAAAATGAAATTATAACTGATTAGAATTTTCATTTGAAAGAATTGATATTTCACAAAAATTTGAGAAAAATATATTTACTTATTGTTTTATCATTATTATTGATGTAATAAACCCATGGATACCAAGTGACCGACAGAAGAATATTTGGCATCAATAGAAAACTTAAGTAGAGAACGACCACAATATACAAAGGATTTGTTAAATGCTCCCAAATTCCTATACGCCGATAAATGTTTGTATACCATTTTGTTTTAGTATTGACTTCTAATTCGTACAAAAAAAAGCAAAACAATGAAATACATAATTTAAATTTGTTAGTGTTTTATTTTATTTACCATCTGTTGTAATCGCCTTGGATTGCTCTAATTTTGTATCAAATGTATATCCAAGATTTAATATCGGAAATTTCCAATCAAGAAATAGAAATGATGACAAAAACATCAATGCTCCAAATGACATCCAGATATAAGATAATTGAGATAATGTTAATTTATCACTATCAATTAAAACCTAAAAAAACAAAAATATTTTTCCTTATGAAAATTGCACGTTGATGGGAAACATTTACTTGAAAAACTGAATACCAAACCGATGCTGACAAACTCGAACCCACAAGTAAAGTTAATAAAAATGCCCGTGCTTTAGAAAAATAACTACATGCTGCATAGCTTGTTATTTGTACAATAATACCGGATAGTGCTGTAAACAATGTGTGAACAAATAATAGTGAATCTCGATCTGAAATCATAAAACATGAAAGAAATTAATAAAATAATAAATTTTTCGAAACACTTATCAGATTTAACAAGTGCCAACGCTAACCATCCTACAACATGAAATACTCTGAAAAAAAACCAACTCTTTGAAATCAAAATATCGGTATAAAAAAAAAATTTACATTCCGATTAATTTTATGAAACGACCGCCGAACATATCAATTAATATACCAACAAATACTGATGGTAAATTAAAAAAAATAATCCCCAAAGTCAATGCATTCTGAAGAATAACAATTATGATAAAGAGCACATTAAATATTGCAAGTTAATTTACTTGATATTGTTGTGTTTGACGATTACAATCTTGTTCTGTCGAATTAGTAATATTTGTTGATTGACAATAGTTATTGTAGACACCATACTTTGGTAATACTTTGAAAAGTGCAGGAAATCCAAAAATATTCGCGCTAATAAGATTTACTTCAATTAAAAGCCAGACAACACCAATTTGTTTTCGCCATAGATTGATATTCGATAAATTAATGCATAACTTCATCTATTAAAGTAAAACATAATACTCGGTATATGATTTTGATCAAGTCAAGAACAAGCACTACCGTTATTCTCATGATCATGTTTATTCAATCATATTCATTACTCCAGCTGTCACTATTTCGTAATTCTAAGATAGAAGGATTCCATTCACAAAAAAACGAACAACTCATAAGTCTCATTTTATATCAATCCGATTGCTTCACAATTCCAGATATTTAAATGTTCTGTTCAACTTAAAGTTTTTTCAAAATAGAGTCCTGCACGGGTACTACTTTTCGCACCCGGACCCGACCCGGCTCATTTTTTTCAAACCCGGAATCCGACCGGACCCGGTCATCTTCCACCCGGAACCGAACCGGACCCGGATAGCTCTACCCGGTACCCGACCGGACCCGGCCCAGCCTTGAAATAGTCAGCACTTGATTGTTATTGTCAAAATTATATTCACTTTTCAAACTTTTATTTCATATGGCAAAATATACTATTATTTTAATTTCATCAAGTAACAATTTGTACCCGGACCACAGTTCCGGGTCCGATCGGGTGCCGGGTATCCGGCCCCGTTGCAGGACTCTATCCTAGAGTGTAAAATACTTTTACTTGTTAAGATGTCATCGACTACCGGTCGGGTACCGGGTATACTCAAATTCTGCACCCGACCCGGCATTTTTTTTTATACCCGGCACCCGAACCGACCCGGCAAATTTGTACCCGGACCACAGTTTCGGGTCCGGTCGGGTGCCGGGTACCCGACCCGGGTCTATGACGATTGTGTGTAAGACAATTGTGTGCAGACAATTGTGTGCAGACAATTGTGTGAAAGACAATTATGAGAACGGATAGTTGTGTGTAAGACAATTATGAGAAGAGGTCATTGTGTGTAAGACAATTATGAGAACGGACAGTTGTGTGTAAGACAATTTTGAGAGGAGGTCATTGTGTGTAAGATAATTGTGAGAATAGACGGTCATGTGCATGCACGTCGATTAATTTTATTTGTATTGACTAATACTAAAGAAAGAGTCTGACAATGATCAATTTTCCTTGAAAGTATTTAAACGAGTGAGAATAAGAGGATGTTGTCCATTTACACTCATTCAAAATTCGCCATCATATAGATCACATTGAAAGTACGAACACATCATGTCAATTTTATTTTCTACAACTGAAAAAGGCAAGCCAGTTCTGATTGAGAACGGTTTTGATTATATTCAAGAACGTACTCATGAAAATAAAGTATATTGGCGATGTACACAATGCAACAAACAGAAATGTAAAGCTAGATTGCATACAACTAATAACACGATTTGTCATCGAATTGGCGACCACAATCATGCTCCAAATCCAAGTATCAGTGGAATTCGTCAATGTCGTTCTGAAATTCGTGACCTGTCTAAAACAACAATGGCCACACATTCAATTGTTGCCACATCAATTGGTACAGCATCTACTGCAGTGTTAAGCCAGCTTCCACCTATCAATAACTTCAAACGTACCATCTGTCGACAACGTGCTGCAAATCTAAATTTTCCAGCAAATCCTCGATCAATATCAGAAATACATATAAACGGCTCATTTGCTCTTACAAAGAAAAAAGAACAATTTCTACAATACGACTCAGGAAACCAAGATTCAGATCGATTTTTAATATTTGCGACGAACCAACAACTTGATCTTCTTCAATCATGTACAGACGTGTATATGGATGGCACATTCAAAGTCGTCCCCGAACTTTTTTACCAATTGTACTCAATCCATGGTTCAGTACAAAGAAATATCATTCCATTGGCTTATATTCTTATGCCTCGTAAAAATGAAGAAAATTATAAGAGGGTTTATGATGCTATTATATCATTAAGGCCACTGTTCAATCCTAGTTCATTTCTCATCGATTTTGAATCAGGAGCAATGAAAGCTATCAATTCCTGTTGGCCTCAATCAAGTGTTCATGCTTGTTTCTTCCACTTGACACAAAACATCTATCGACAAGTTCAAAAAGCAGGTTTTACAACTAAATATGGGAACGATGAAGAATATGCACATGCAGTACGAATGCTGCCTGCATTAGCTTTTTTGGAAACAAATGATATCTATTCAACATTTGAAGATATTGGTGGTCTACAAATTCCAGATCTAGATCCAGTTTACAATTATTTTGAAGATTACTACATAGGTAGATTTCGAAGTCGCAACAGAAGGATAATTCCAACGTTTCCAATCACATTTTGGAATGTACACAATTTGTTACGGAATCAGTTCGACCACACTAACAACGCCGTCGAAGGATGGCACCGACGACTTAACAACATCGTAGATTCAGCTCATCCTGGATTTTGGCGTTTTTTGAGTGACCTTCAAACAGAACAATCATATGTAGATGGTGAAATTTCTCAACTAGTAACAGGTCTCGTACCAAAACCAAAGAGAATCAAAACTCAACAAACAGCATCCAGAGTTTTACGGATTTTAGAAAATCCTACAAATGATAATATACAAAAAATAAAAGCGATTGCTCATACATTCATGCTATAATTGTTCATTGATGTGTTCATCCTGTTTACTTTTGTTATTTTGTCTACTTCTTTTTGTTCATTGATTTGTTCATTTGATTAATTTTTGTTATTTTGTCTACTTTTTTTCGTTCATTATCTTTCACTTTTTGACAAAAATATTTATTTGCATATAACACACATTCATTTTTGCACACAATCATCTGCACACAAAAATCTAACACACAATTGTCTGTTCACACAATTTCCTTCCACACAATTGTCTGTTCACACAATTTTCTTGCACACAATTGTCTGTCCACATAATTTTCTTGCACACAATTGCCCATACACATAATTGTCTGCACATAATTGTCTTACACACAATAGTCTTACACACAATCGTCGTGCTCCCACCCGACCCCGTTGCAGGACTCTATTTCAAAAGCAAAACAATTTTCTGTATTCTTCGTATGAAAATGCACCGGTAGTTTTTACTTTGATAAATTGTTTTTATCTTAACTTTTTTTTGTTTAATTATATTTTCATACTTTTCTAGATGCTATAGCAAAATAACTATTGCTAAAGAAATTCATACCATTCAATAAGTTTTGAATAAAGATATATAATTATTTCTTTAATTAATAGCAAATGTCTATTATTGTATTTCATGATAAAGAATCTTTTCTGTTTCATTCATAAAGTTTCTCAGTACATAATTTATGAAGAGAGACTTTCAATAAGCTTAAGTTTCACCAAACTGCGAATATTTCTGCATTGAACAAGAGAACAAACTTAAACTTAAGATTCATTTCAATTAGATTCAAAAACTTTCGTTCGAATGGAAATAATTTTATTCGATAAAATTTGATTGAAATCTTTTACTATGTTAGACGCTTGCCTAATAAAGAAGTATCCTTATTCGTCAAACACCAATCGAACTCATCTTTGGTTCATAAGTAAGATTTACTTAAATTTTCTGAAACTGAAAAGTATTCACACTCAGGCATTACCAATCCAGAATTATGACGCTTCTATTAGGATTATCAATTTCTGGATTAGTTACTTATAGAAAATTGAATAATGAAATATATTTTCCTTGAAAACTTATACAATACCGTTATTCCTTCGATACTTAATATATCACGTAAAATATATTTATTCGAGCTGAAATTTATATAATACTTTATCTTTCTCTGAGACCAGTTTATGAAATTATTTTCGATGTAAATTTCACTGCTCAGATTTTCATAAATGCTAAACCTATACATATTTTGAAAATCTCAATCGAAGACTCGTAATTCTGATTAGATAACGGCTAGAACTAAATTTTAATTTCAGACTCAACATTCAACACTTCGAATATTTTCACACTAGAGAAAAAGTTAAGTGAGAAAAACAAAAGGTTTTTTCATAAAGCTTTCAGAAAAATTATTTTGATACTAACTAAGAGAATATCCTGTTATGAGGTCGTCTTTGACTAATTATTATTGTTTTACTTTATATTTGAATACTCATTGATGAATGTGTTCTGTGTGTGAGAATCAATTGGTAATAAAAACTTTTTAAATCAAAACATACCAACCTTGCTTATGAAACTAAATATATTTTATATAATTGGTCTTTCTTTTGCTTTTTGCAGAACTGCTCTATGAAGTCATTATTTTGAATTGACGAAATATATGGTATGTTATTTTTTACGCCATTGTGATATTCAAATAGTAATTGATTAATGCTTGAAAAAATAAAAGGACTTTGTCCTTGCTCAAAGTTATTTACTTCTATAAAAAGTCATACAATTCAACAAAATTCTTCAATTATCCTCAAAGGTGTATTCACCTAGAATATCAAACACTATTCTCTAATATTTCAGGTAAAAATAATATGCCTTCTACGCATAATAATTTAGTTTAATCTACGAACATTACGCTTCAATATTTTTGTTCTAAAAAAAAACACAAAAAACGAACTCGATGAATCGATACCAATAAGAAAAGTCAAGCTTCATGAAAAATATTCGATTAAAATAAACACACTTTTAGTGATGATCTTATTTGTTGACATGTCCCTTTTTGAGGCATATTTTTAAACACTGAATGGCTTGCTATTTAATCTCTAATTAGAATATGGATGCGGAGTGTGGTAGATGTGGAAGTTCACGATATAGTGCTCAGTGATCACTTTCATTATTAGTTCCCATGTTTGTACATGCCCATACCGCAAAGTAAAATAAACAGTATATTTTGATCTATCATTCATATGAATATTTTCTTATCCAACTTGATAAATGTCACTTAATGAAAATTGTTTTTTTATTTTCTAGAATGATTCACATAATTTGAATTATTTTGAAGTATATGTTCTTTCGTTTTGGTTTTCTCTTTTCATATCTATAGTATGACGTGCCACAATTGAATTTTGAGCATTCGGTTTCCTTCTGCTTATAGAGTACAACCATGAAGAGTGTTTTTCAATCACAGATAATCTATCTCAGATATTCTAACTCAAATTAGAGATCATACAGACAAAGAGTTCTATTGTTTCTTTTTTTAGTCTTTATTTCGATGTCAAATGAATCCAGTCAACAGCACATGTTTGGTGATAACCCAATTTTTTGAGCATCTTACAAGAAGCTTCATTTTCCCGTATCACAAAGCAGAAAACACGTTCTTGCATTTTAAACAACTCCGAAGCCAATTGAATATTTAACAATGTTGCAAGACCGAGTCGACGAAATTCTGGTATTGTGAATGCCATTCCAAAAGAACCATCGAATTGTGTCAAACACCAACTCACTAATTGTCCTTGACAATATGCACCTATGAAAAAATAGACGAGTGAATGACTTTTGTTCATTATTATTTAAAACTTACCAAATGTTGGAAGATGTTCAATTTGATACTTAATTTGTGCGAGAGAAAACTTCGATTTATATAGAGAAAATTCGTCGATCAACGCTGCATCAGTTATTGACAAACGTTGAATGGCAATGTCTAAATGATTTTATATCTCGAAAATATATTTATTTTTTCGAATGGTTATTGTGTTACCTGATCGTAACTCTTGTACGAGTTGTTTTTTAGTTTCCTCTAATTTTTTCTGATCGATTTCCATTTGTAAACAAGAAAATATCTTTAAATTACCAAGAAGATTTTTCTCTCGAACGATATTTTCAATAGTTGTCAAAAATCGATGAGCAATATCACAAAAGAAGATTGTTTTTATATTGAACCATGGCACACATTGTTCAAGTAAATTTAGAAGTACTTCATGGTTTTCTTCATCAGCAACAAATGTTATATTTCTTGAACTTACTGCCATGTCGTCATCTAAGTGACTATGATCGGTTGTAAAACCAACAGTAGAATATACGAAAATAACACATTTGATATGATCTCGATCATCAACAAATAATTGATGTGGCCAGAAATATTTTTGATCGACTAAACCCTGTTGAATATAACGGAGTAAGGACCATACTTGACGTGTTTCTGGTAAACGTGCATGCTAGAAATAGTCGAATTCTGTCTAGATACAAAGCTAAAGGATACAAAACTCACCAAAAAATGTAAGACCACTTGAAGTGAGTCTTCATGAGAAAGATCGATTTGAGTTACTGTCGTTGTTACCATTTTGCTGATAAAAAAGCCACACTATACACTCTAACCATTTATTCTGTTTTTTATTCTTTTTGTTCTTATCTTTTCTCATGCGTCATATATTTATATCATGATGATTCGAACAATGTCATAAATTCAACTGTAAAAATAACATTGAATCTAGACATGCTATGAATTTCGAGATTGATTATGTCAATAAGACCAGCAGTGATAGGGAAGGGTATAATAGCACTACTAAATCAACCTTTCAGTAATATATATATATTCATATGTGAGTTGTGCAGAAAATAAAATTGAGGAGTATAAGCAAAAGTGAACGCTAAATGTGATAGCTTTGTTTACTGCCTCTCTTCAATTTAATACATTACCCGTTCAGTATTACCAAACGTCTCTGTACCAAGTTTAGTATTCAACGTGTTGATACAGCTTTTCAACCATTTCTAATTTCCTCCAATACAGAATCATGTAAAGATTTGAAAAACCAAGAAATGAACGATACACAAGTGCATGCACGGTAACAATGAATAAAACAGAATTGATTAATAATTTTATTATTCGATGTCAAATGAAAGCCATTGTTGAATTATATCGGAAGCCAGAAGAAGTCAAAACATGATTCAACTGTTGTATTCATCAAAACCAAAACAGAATCATTGAAGATTTGAACCAATCAAAGATGTAGGAGGAAGATCTCTAAGTCATACACACGAATTGACATCAATACAAGAATGTACGTAGATGAGATTGATCTTTTTATCTCACACTCGCATCAAGAAGCAAGAAGTTAATTAAATCGTGTTAAAACTCTAGGTCTAGGACCATCTTTGTTAGAGAGGTTTAGCATTATAAAAAATCCACGAGTGCAAAATACTTCGCTTCTAAACGCTTAGCAACATAAGTATATATATATGTACATTACTTGTATAGAAACCCACACGATAATCATGAGTTTCAAGTCAGATTCTTTGTTTAGGTCTCTCACTACAAGTGACTTTGTTTGTCAACGGTAATCTACTGCAACAGAAACATTTTTTGTATACTTTCTTTTTGTTCCTCGATTTGGATCGTATTTGGTTGCATCAATCATAGCGAGTACAATCTGTCATAAATGTACTCGTTGTACAAGTAGTAAATTCGATATGCGTACTATGGTAACAAACCAATAGTTGATTACATTAATGCTGGTGCTCTTTGTAGTTCTTCTTCATGCTATTCATTTTCTACTTTTAATTATGCATAATTCTGCTGTGATTTAATTTTCTTATTTTCTTTGATGTTGAACCTTTTGTTTTTCTGATAAGAAACCAACAGTTGTTCAAATACACAGAGAATGACAAATGTAAGTGGAAAAAACTCCGCTCTGTGTCTACAAAAACGTGCACTTTCCGCTTATCAAATCTCATTCATTGAGATGGCTACAACA